CGTTAACCGGGGTCCACTGTATTTACATTATTTCTTATGGGGAAAATTGATTCATAAATCGTAAATTTCGCTTACAGTAACGGCTCCAGGAACGGATTAATTACGAACAACGAGGGACCACTGTACTTGGGAGTTAACGTGTCGGCGGATGGATTTATGAAGGATGACGTTAATCATAGAATTGATGAAGGAAAAAAGGTGAGTGGTGCGTTGAGGTATATGTGGAGTCAAAAAATGTTATCTATGGAGGCAAAGAAGGGAATGTATGAAAGTATAGTAGTACCAACACTCTTATATGGGTGTGAAGCTTGGGTTGTGAATGCAGCAGTGAGGAGGCGGTTGGAGGCAGTGGAGAGGGCAATGTGTGGTGTAAATATTATGCAGAAAATTCGGAGTGTGGAAATTAGGAGAAGGTGTGGAGTTAATAAAAGTATTAGTCAGAGGGCAGAAGAGGGGTTGTTGAGGTGGTTTGGTCATTTAGAGAGAATGGATCAAAGTAGAATGACATGGAGAGCATTTAAATCTGTAGGAGAAGGAAGGCGGGGTAGGGGTCGTCCTCGAAAAGGTTGGAAGGAAGGGGTAAGGGAGGTTTTGTGGGCAAGGGGCTTTTACTTCCAGCAAGCATGCATGAGCGTGTTCGATAGGAGTGAATGGAGATGAATGGTATTTGGGACCTGACGATCTGTTGGAGTGTGAGCAGGGTAATATTTAGTGAAGGGATTCAGGGAAACTGGTTATTTTTATATACCCGGACTTGAGTCCTGGAAATGGGAAGTACAATGCCTGCACTCTAAAGGAGGGTTTTAGGATATTAGCAGTTTGGAGGGATATGTTGTGTGTCTTTATACGTATATGCTTCTAAACTGTCGTGTTCTGAGCACCTCTGCAAAAACAGTGATTATGTGTGAGTGAGGTCAAAGTGTTGAATGATGATGTAAGTATTTTCTTTTTGGGGATTTTCTTTCTTTTTGGGTCACCCTGCCTCGGTGGGAGACGGCCGACTTATTGAAAAAAAAAAAAAACATGTATGTGTAGTGTGACCTAAGTGTAAGAAGAAGTAGCAAGACATGTTTAAGAGACAGAAAAAAGACACCAGCAATCCTACCATCATGTAAAACAATTACAGGCTCTCGTTTTACACTCACTTAGCAGTAGAGTATACATATCTCCTTGGGCAGGTGCTATCTACCAACGTACTACTTCTTATAATACTGTGTATTGCACTGCATGGTGTTGTAGCCCCCTCTCAAACATAGAGATATGCATATACTGACATTGCTTCATTTGGAATATACAGTATGAACTGAAGCAAATAGTTGAATAGATCTTGTTTTGCTGTTTAGGCAGTGTTATTCATGATGCATTGTGTGGACCCATCTGGTCTTAACCCTTTCAGGGTCCGTCCCGTAGATCTACGGCTTTACGTTCAGGGTCCAAACCGTAGATCTACGTCATGAGCTCAGCTCACTCTGATAAACTGTGAGTGGTAAATTTGGGCCTAGATATGAGAGAATACATCTATGTGGTATATGTGCACCACATAAAACAAATCCTGCAGCACACTGTGTATAATGAGAGAAAAAACTGAGACCATGATTTTCGATTAAAACAGCGACTTTGCAGTGTTTTTTCCTATGTGTTTTATAGTTGTATTTGTGATTTCTTGGTCTCATTTGATAGAATGGAAGACATATTACAGAAATAGAGATAATTTTGATTGGTGTTAGCACTGGAAATGGCTTGAAACTGAGCTCAAAGTAGCAGAAATGTTAAATTTTTGCCGATATTCAAGAGTAAACAAACGACCTCACACGTCTAATACACGTCGGCTGGTGGGTCTAATATACATTCACAAATGTGGTGATGATATTTATACAATTATTACAATATTGCATAACAGTAAATCTTCTATTTTTTGGTGTGAATAAAAATTCATTATGTGAATAAAAAATCAAAAATGGAATTTATTTGTAAAGCCTCAAAACATAACTAATGAACAGAGGAAATGTTAGTTTAGTGCCAGGAATGCCTACATTGTTTATTCTGGACCCTATTTTGAAATTGGAATATTTTGAACTTTGTGTTAAATTGGCCAAATTAACAATTTCCGGTCACTTTATTTTGTAGTTGAAACAGTTGACTTGGCGATTTCTTGTGCTCAATCGATAGAATAGAAGTAATACTAGTGAAATAGCTGAGAATTTGGTCGACTGGAATAATGTAATTGGCCTAAAATGGGAGTCAAAGTCGGCAAAATCGCCGATTCGTAAATATCGCTGACACATCAAAATTCACGAGAGCATAATTTCGTCAATTTTCCATCAAATTTCGTACTTTTTGTTTTATTACATTCACAAAAAGATTCTCTACCATTTCATAAGAAAAAATAACAATCTTTTTTTTTGAAAATTCTTGGACACTGGGGCACCACTTCAGATTTTGGCCTTGGACCCTGAAAGGGTTAAGATTTGTTTTCAAAGACATGAAGAGACTGTAAGAGTTCCAAACAGTTGTGATGAGGTCAAAAATATTGGCTAGTGACATATGAACGCACAAATAATTGTGCTTACCATTAAGTAAGAAACAACCTCATCACTTGTGTACTATTATGTTAGACATAGTTAAGGGGGTTCAAGACTATTCTTCATACAGCAATTTTTTTTTTTTTTTGCATGCAATAAAATTTGTTTTTTTCAACAAACAGGCCATATCCCACCAAGACAGGGTGACCTAAAAAAAGAAAAATTTAAGTTTTTCTTTTTAAATTTAGTAATTTATACAGGAAAAGGTGTTACTAGCCCCTTGCTCCCGGCATTTTAGTTGCCTCTTACGACACACATGGCTTATGAAGGAAGAATTTTGATCCACTTACCCATGGAGAAAAAAAAAATATTTTATCCTCCTCTATCTTTTAGGTTATTATATGTGGAATAATTAAAGAGCCATTTACTCCTGGAACTTCAGTCACCTTTTATACCATGCATGATTATAAGACAAGGATTTTAATTAACTTTTTCATGAGAATGGAAAAAAGGTTACAGATTTGAAAATGTGAGTTAAGAAATTTGAGAAAATGTAAGAATGGTAAGTGCACAGTAAATATAAATTAAGATGGTATACAGTCACTTCTCTCTTCTTTCACCCCCCCCCCCTTTAACTGGATACTCTCAGCCCACATTATTAAGTAATATGCTATTCATATTATTATTGTTTTTAAGATGAGCATTTAAATTGATTTTTTAAAAAAATATTAATGCCAGTTGATTTCTGGAAAAGACAGGCAAATAGTAGAGGCTCCACTATTAAAGTATTATATAGGAAATGTTAATAACAATTAAAAAAAAAAAAAGAAGAAAAGTTCATGATATATAAGACAAAACAAGCAAACCTCAAGCTGCTCAAGAATATATGATTAGAGATACTAATTAAAATAAACAGAAGATTGAAGACAAGTTAGTATTACTACTTGTGTATGATGGAATATGGGACTGAAATAAAAAGTTACCTCGTGTCTTTGGGAAATCAATTGGATATCATATGTGCTGGAGTCCAAGCCAGCTTGCCAAGCCTGAAGTTCCAACCACAGCATCTCATAAAGTTCCTGCTGATACAGCACTTCTTCCTCACTCCTCTGGTGGGAACATCACAAAGGTTAGTTCAGAGAAATCAAACTTACCATATATTCTACCTAATAATTAACCCTTAAACTGTCCACACATAGATCTACATTCACGTGCGGTGGGCTCCAAACGTAAATCAATGTTTTATTTTTCATTCCTTCAAATTTGGCACAATAGGTCTGATTCACCTAGACATGAAAGAATGGGTCTGTGCACTCAGTGTGCACACTACGAATAAAATCAGGGACCACTTAGTACCTTGTGGGAGCACCAGTTCAATTGAGCACCAGCTAGAGCAAATAGCATGGCTAACACCAGTGATTCACCGATGTCACGTAATATTAACACTCACATTTTAAGAGGAAAGTAAAAATAGGTTAGATAAATGCATGAGTGGGTGTAGGTGGGTTTGAGTTGGACCTGACTAGCTTGTGCTACTGGGTCAGATGTCATGCTCGTTCTTTCAGTGGATGTGACCTGACTAGGTGGGTCATTGGTCTAAGCCGGGAGGGGTGACATGGACCTGTCTTGCATGGGCCAATAGGCCTGCTGCAGTGTTCCTTCTTATGTTCTTATGTATTCGGCTGGCTGGCTTTGGCTGTCGCTGTATCTCTCTATATCTCTGTCTATCACTGTCTATCTGTATCTCTGTCTCTCACATGTACTCATAAATACAGTTATACATAATATAAATTACCTAGGATAACCCAAAAATTCCAGGCTAAGTGCTATACAGTGTTTGTAGATATAAAACATAAATAAACATGACAAGTAATAGCAGTGTCACTTGCTCAGCAATCAGGGAGCAGCCTGTACTCCACAAACGAACAAGTTTACTAGCTACTCTCTGAGACAGAGACAAGTAGATGGAAAGACAGACACACACACAGGCAGACAGAAAGACAGATAAGCAGAGCTAGACAGACAGATGTACAGATAGACAGACAGATAATAGAAGGTCAGACAGACATCACAGAGACAATGTTTATCTGACGCTTGTCATAACACCATTATTCAAGGAGTTCATATTATACTTCAGGCACACACAGAAGACAGAAAGAAAGGTAAGCTGAACTGGACAGACAGATAAGCAGAGCTAGGCAGACAGACAGATAGATGTACAGATAGAAAAGACAGCAGACAGACAGATAGACAGGCAGACAGACTGATAGACAGACACACAATGACATGTTTGTGTGCAAGAGTAAAAACATATAAAGGCAAGGTTCCCTCCAGCAGGGCACATTCTGACCCTTGTCATAATGCCATTCTTCAAGGAGTTTCATACTCCAGCATGTCTACAACATTGCTGGGACCTATAAATATTTTGTATATATCTCTAGACAATAGTAAATGACCATGGCAGGTGAAAATGTTCACCTGTCAGTGTGAGTGTTACAATTGGAATACTATTTCAGTACATAATATTAGTGTCAGAACAAAGATTGGCTATGAAATCACAAGAGCTATTATAAATTGTAATTATCAGAACATAAAAATTATATAAATTAAAAACGAGAAAGGTAAATTGGCAACACTTCTGCAAGCGGCAGAACTGGATGTTGCCATCAGGTGAGCATCCAGAAACAACTTCATGCTCTTATATCTCAGTAAGTACTGGTCCTAAAATTTTTTTTTTTTTTGGTCTTATACCACACAGAAAATTGCCCTCTTTAATTTAAAAACAAAAAAAACTATTTTTTTACTTTTCAAAATATTCGGAGCACCATGCAAGTGAATGTAGATCTAGTTTGGACAGTTTAAGGGTTAATCTGGCACCATTCATCTACATATAAAATACAAATGATCAAATTCATTTTGTCAATTTTACAAGTGTCATCTGTATAAAATATATACTATTCTAAACTGTACATAAGGGTTAACACATACCTGTCGATGGTTAAAAGCAATTTCCTGAGTGCCAGTTTTGACTAGACTCTGTAACTGGGTGAAATAACGAACACGATCTGGAGGTAGTTCAGCCGTAGACACCTTACGGTTATCAGTTTGATCCGATTCACACCCTTCTTCCAATTTCCGACAAGACACACTCATGTAGCGAGATCTTGAATCGACCTAAACATTATCAACCAATAAGGATCTATTCACACTCTGATCTGCAATATCCTACTTAAAAGTTATTAGATTACTTCTAAATAAATTTAAATTGAAGTAACTAGCAGGCACCAATTAAAGGCAACCAAAGCTAATAAAATGACAAAGGCCACTGATAAAAAGACAAGATAGAGGAAGAATAAGAGGAAATAAGTAAGAGAAAAGTAATAGATGGCAGAGAGAGCATTTTTTATAGAACAGGATACACATGGTACATTAAGATTAAAAAATAAAGTGTTTACTGTTAAAATACAAAAGAAAAAGACAAATACAGCATTTATTATGGACAAGTATCTTCACCAGGTACCAGATCAACCAGGCTGTGATGGATATCTGGAACTGCAGGCCATCAACAGCAACATCCTGGGTGACCAGGAAAGCACCTGACAAGCATGGCCCATGACCAGGTTTCAGGAGTAGAAAAATTCTTGGAACTTATCAAAGGCATATCAAAGATAAGAGATATTATTGGCAATAATCAACTATGACAACTCTCACTTTATATTAGATGGTTTATCCTTTAACCCTTTGACTGTCAAGACCCCAAATCCTGAAGTGATTCTCTGTGTCGCAAAATACAGTGGACCCTCGACCAACGCTGGCATCGTCTAATGTTAAATCCGACTAGCGATACATTTTATAGCAAAAATTTTGCTTCGACTAGCGCTAAAAAACTCGACCAACGCGATTCGTTCCGTCCGAGACGCGTCCACTTGTGGCCAGTGTTTACAAGCCAGCCAGCCACCGTGGTCCCATCCAAACATACAATCAGAACATTTCATATTATCACAGCGTTTTTAGCGATTGCACCTGCAAAATAAGTCACCATGGGCCCGAAGAAAGCTTCTAGTGCCAACCCTACAGCAAAAAGGGTGAGAATTACTATGGATATGAAGAAAGAGATCATTGCTAAGTATGAAAGTGGAGTGCATGTCTCCGAGCTGGCCAGGTTGTACACCAAACCCCAATCAACCATCGCTACTATTGTGGCCAAGAAAATGGCAATCAAGGAAGCTGTTCTTGCCAAAGGTGCAACTATGTTTTCGAAACTGAAATCGCAAGTGATAGAAGATGTTGAGAGAGTGTTATTGGTGTGGATAAACGAAAAACAGATAGCAGGAGATAGCATCTCTCAAGCAATCATATGTGAAAAGGCTAGGAAGTTGCATGACGATTTAATTAAAAAAATGCCTGCAACTAGTGGTGATGTGTGCTAATGCTAGTGGTGATTGCAAAGTGAAGCCTTTATTGGTGTATCACTCTGAAACTCCCGGAGTATTCAGGAAAAACAATGTCCTCAAGGACTTGACACCTCAAGAACTAATGGAAGGGGATTCCCCTTCTAAACATTAACACCATCCACACTCTCCCCTCCTCCCATCCCATCAATCATCACCAGATCTTCATTAAAATTAAGTGTCAATTATTCTATTGTTATTAATCTATTGTTATTGTTGTTATTGTAATTATTCTATTGCATTAAACTTAATATTTCATGTGGCAATTTTTTTTTTTTCATACTTTTGGGTGTCTTGCATGGATTAATTTGATTTCCATTATTTATTATGGGGAAAATTAACTCGACTAACGATAATTTTGAGTAACGATGAGCCCTCAGGAACGGATTAATATCGTTGGTCGAGGGTCCACTGTATTCACAAAAAAAAAAAAACTTATGAAATGATAATCTTTTCCCAATGGTAATGACACCAAAAGTACGAAATTTGATGGAAAACTTACGGAATTACGCTCTACAATCTTGGCGATATTATATGCATCGGTGATATCACCCAATTTGAGCCCTATTTTCAGCCAATTCCACTGTTCCAGTCCATCAAACTCATAGTTATTCCGCTAGAACTCCATTTGTTCTATCGAATGAGTACAAAAAACTGCCCATTTACTGATTTAAACTACCCAATAAAGTGGTCAGAAATTAGCAATTTGGCCAATTTCACACAAATTAAAAAGCATGCCAATTTCAAAATAGGGTCCAGAATAAACAATGCAGAGATTCTTGGCACTAAAATACCATTTTCTCTGTTCATTAGCCATGTCTCCAGGTCCCTCTTATATTATTCTTGCTTTCTGTTTTGAATTTTTATTCAAACAGAAAATAGAAGATTTACTGTTATGTAGACTACTGCATTATTGTAAAAATGGTATAAATAATATCAGTGCATTAGTGAAAGAATATTAGACTCATCAATTGATGTGTATTGGACACGTGGAGTGATTTATTTACTCCTGAACATCGGCAAAAATCGAACATTTCCGCTACTTTGAGCTTAATTTCAAGGTCCTTTTCTTGTGAAACTAATCAAAATAATCTCTATTTCTGAAATATGTCTTCCATTCTATCAAACAAGACAAAGGAAATGAGAATACAACCATAAATACTACACGAAAATACAGTGGACCCTAGGAATACGTAATTAATCCGTTCCAGAGAGTGAGACTTATCCCGAATCTGACTTATTCTGAATTAATTTTCCCCATACGAAATAATGGAAATCCATTTAATTCATTTTAGACACCCAAAAGTATTAAAAAAAATGTTCTCTACATGAAATATACATTTACCTACACAGAAAACAATGATACATGAAGAATAAAACAATAATAACATCACACTTGCCTTTACTGAAGACATGGTGATGTATGGAAGACGGGAGGAGGGGAGAGGATGGAGGAGTTTACAACTGTTTGGAAGGGGAATCCCCTTCATAAAGACTTCAAGTACCAAGTCCTTATCCTGGGTTACTTCCCTCCTTTGTTTTTTAATGCCACTAGGACCGGCTTGAGAGTCACTGGACCCCTGTCGTTCAAAAAAGTGTTCCAGAGAGGTCTCTTTCTGGCTTATGTTAGGAATTGTGTTGGGAGACAGGACAAGATAGTCCTTCAATATGACACTAATATCAGCTCTACGGCTTATTTATCTAGAAAAATTCATCTAACAAGTCATAATAAACAATATTAATAACATAGAAACATGATATATACTCTAGAATGAATGAAATATGGCATTTAGAATGTCACGAGTGGTGGTGTGTTGTTTGTTGTTGGGTGTATAAGGGCCACTGAAAAATAAGCCTTACATAGTGGTGATAAAGGGCGCGTGTTAGTACCCCCATACACATGTACATCCCCTCGCCTAACGCTATTAACCCTTTCCTGAGTGCTCAACTTAGCGAAATATCGTCAAGCGAATTTAATTTTTCCATAAGAAAATAATGGAAATCAAATTAATCCTTCCTGACACCCAAAGTAGAAAAAAAAAAAAATTTTACCACATGAAAAAAAAATTTTTAATACACAAAAAACTAAAGAAGACATGCACAGTTAAGACACTTCCCTTTTATTGAAGATCGGTGATGATTGATGGGATGGGAGGAGGGGATGTTGGGTGTTGGTTTTTTAAAAGGGGGAATCCCCCTTCCATTTGGATTGAGGTGGCAGTCCTTTCCGGGTACTTCCCTTTTCTTTTTTTAATGCCACTAGGACCAGCTTGAGCACGGGACCTCTGTCACACAACAATCGTCCATAGAGGCCTGTACCCCCCGTTCCTTTTTGAATTCCTAAAGTTTTTCCCAAAAAATTGTCAGGAAAAAGTCACCAAAACGGCTTGCAATAGCTGTGTAGGGTGATTTTTCATCAAAAAATGTTTGCAATTTTAAGCCACATTGCACAACCTTCCTTAATCTTTGAAGTAGGCAACTTTCCCCAATTTCTCTATCCCCTCCTACAAAAACGTTTTCCCCAGGGGTGGGCCCCTTGCTGTTGAAGATGTCAAACAGCTCATCAGTGGGGCATTCTTCATTTTCCTCCCCACCAACTCTTCCACTTCCTCCCCACTAACCCAACCCAAGGACTTTCCCCCAAAGCCACAATGGATTTTCCCCAACTGGCATAGGATTTCCCCGGTTAGCCCCCAAAACCCTTCAAAATCCCTTTTGCACACATTCGGCCCCATTTTTTCCAACAGAGTTCAAGGTCCTTTAGTCACTTTCTCCAACCCCTTTCCCAAATGTTTACACAATTGAGGATGCTAAAGGAATCTCTCCAAAACCCCTTTAAATCAATTGAGTTTCGGGTCACTACAAAGCACCTTTCAAACATAGCTTTGTGTACAGTTTTTTGAAGTTGGAAATGACCGCTGGTCAAGGGCTCAGGGGGGAGGGGTTAGGAGGCAAAAATTGCCTTAATGAAGCTCATGTCCGCAGAAAGTCCTCGTCACGTCTAAGGATGACCAGGACATTATCTAATCCCAGGAGCACTTAAGTCTAATTTTTTTTTCAATTGGGAAATTTTTTCACATTGGGGGAAATGCATGGTGTAACCAGTCATAAAAAAAAGCCCCTATGACCCTCCTTACTGTTTCCCCTCCACACACACAAAAATTAGCCTTGAGGACATTTTTTTCCTGAACACTCGGGGAGTTTCAGAGTGATACCCCCAAAAAGGGCTTCATTTTGCAATCACCATAGCACTGGAAACCCCCACAACAGAGTAACCTGTCTTTCATAGCCTTATTCCTGGGGAGTCCCTTTTTCCTCCTGATAATGTACGTCCTGTTTGGCATTTTCTTCAAAACGGGCCCCCTGTTTCGTCAAAATTTAAAACACTTGTTCGGGTTTCACCCTTTCACTGTCTATGACCCTTGAATTCCTGCAAAGATTTTTTTTTGTCGCTTTGGGGTCCGAACTGCAGCCCACCATGCCTTTAACTTGTATGCCACTACGATTCTTAAATCTCTCAAACCCAACCTTTTGCGGGCCCTTTAAAATTCATCACTCACATAGTTGCGGCATTTTTCAAATTAAATCGTACAATTCCTACCTTTTCACATATGCTCTGAGAGATGCTATCTCCTGATCTGTTTTTCATTTACCCAACCCCAAAACAGTCTTCAACATCCTATCACTTGCGATCCTTTTCGAAAACAAATTTTCACCTTTGGC